GGGGGTTATCAATAGGTGCGCTACATATTTTGAGCAATCACGCAAATAGGAAATTTAATCACAAGAGTACTTTTCTCGAGCAAGGCGTTTGTGTCAATCAATGAAGTCGTACTTAGAATGTAATCACGTCTGGTCAGGAGATTCAATTTATATCCAATGAGTGAGCTTATGGGAATTGCAAGGACTCCTATCAGGTCAGCTAATAATTGGTTCGCTCGTGGTTGTTTATTGCCTTCTGATAGATCTCCTTGACAAATTAAACTTGGCAGGGCAAGGTCAATCCTCGTACTTATTGGTCATTTAAATACCCTACTTGAGCCAATTTTTCCCCTTTCAGTGTCTCAACAAACTGCATTGAAGGAATACGAAGATATCTTGGGTATGCCAAACAATCCGCGATCAAGAAAAAATAAAAGTCCGCAGCATAACATGAGCATAGGTGTTCAGCAATCATCTAATACGGATTCTAACAATGGAGTTACTGGCCAGGGAAACGAATTGGTGGATAAACTTCGTGAATGCAATGTAGCAAAAACTGCACCAGTTACTGGAAGCACGACAGTACCTGTAAATGGCGCTGATTTTAAAAATAGTCGGGATTCCTTTCCCTCTCCTGTACTTGGAACTATACATCCGACGGCTAGCGTGGATAATGCTCATTTAAAGTCCCTTTTGGGGAGCAGCAACGGTGTTTCAGTAAAATCAGAAGTAAGTGCCAGCTCTCCTAATAGTAACGGCCAGTTGCTAATGCTCCCTCAAACAACCGTCAACTCCGTAGATATCTCCCCAACCCTACCTGTGAATGGAAATTGCCAACTTTTTAATTTACCCAATATCACTCTTCCTACGGGTTCATCAATTTTACAAGCGACAGACGCATCTGTGTGTAGCAATGTGCTGCGTCTCTTGGTATGCTTTTACCCTACATGCCCATGCCCGCTTAAAGCGTGTCCCTTTTTGAGTTGCTATTTTTAATATGTGGGGGGGGGGGGTGTGGGAACAGTATACACGGGTGAAATCGAAGAATGTCACTTAGCTAAGTTAATAATCGATTTTATTTGCCATATTGTTTGTAGCATGTGCGTAATTATGGTAGCTACACGTTTCTGTACAAACACGAGAGTCGTCGCGAAAATAGAAGTTTGTTGCATTTGTCTATCTCTGTCAGTCTATTCTCGCCAATGCGAAACTATTATGACCTTGACGTGTGCGCACCTATCAGAGCCCTTGATTCATCCAAATGTCCTTGACATGTGTAATTCAAATGTGAAATATTTTTCGTTAAGATGTAATGCGACATAAGCGTGTTCTTTTTGAGGGACATATTAATAAAAATCTTTGATAATATGGAAATATTACTAGAACCCGGGGGGGGGGGGTTAGCAGATTTTTCTCTCATTAGCTAAAAGTATTGATTTATTCGAGCTACGCTCTGTTAGATATTTGAGTGGTAATACAAATACGATTAGTTGGCAAATTTAGAGGTCAGATTTATTTCAGCCTGATTCTTAATTTGGTCATCTTATAACCCAACAGTCAATCTTTAACGGTGGATCAATGGATTTACAGAATACAGGAGGTAATTTGCCCTCATTACTCGCTAATGCGACTTCAACGACAACTACCACCTCTCAGTCCTTGCTCCCTGGAGTGTCGTTACCAACTCAAGCATCACAACAACTACAGCTGCCGACTTCTTTTCCCTCATCATTAACAGACACACACAAACTTCAACAGTTTCTGGCTGCTACTCTAGCCACCGGGAACAGCACGACAAACTACTCTTCTCAGAATCCTCTAAAAATTGTGAATTTTGATCCATCCACCTCGACTGTTTCCTCGCCAATGATAGCCTTGGCTACTTCCACCCAGTCAACTCAGTCATCAGCTCCATTAACTCCCGATCAGATTTTAGCTGCTCTTTTGGCAGCTGCTGGACATCCCACTCCTGCTACTGTAAATCCCGGAGGAGGATATATTAATCCTACTCAAATTTTGACTGGTCCCGCTTCTGCAACCGAATTATTAAATAAATTGTACAGTTCAATAAAGACAGAGTCGACAACAGAGGCAAAGCCACCTATTTCTTTACCTACAACTACTTCCACACCAGCTTCCCAATTTCAGCCCTCAACACCAACCCAAGTGACTTCCAAACCTCTGGCGGGAACAGTTCAAACTTCTAATATGGTTACTTCTACGCCGTACAGTACTCGCGGTGTTCGAAATAATGATGGAAGTACTGAGAACTGCAAGGTTTGCGGTGATGTTGCATCGGGTAAGCTAATTATCCCTCTATTTATATAATTTAGTCCAATTTATGAGCTATCTTTCGTTTTGAAATGGGATTTGAACAGAGTGACATAGCGCTTTTGAGATTACATTAACGAAGGAAGACTAATTTATGGCGAACGGTGCCTTCATGTCATTCCGAGCACTTGGTAAAGTGTTTTCCGAAGAAAGGTTATCTTATTAGTTTATATAAGTAAAGCTTTGAATTTCACATCTCACAAACCTCGTTGTGACTTGTTTGACATTATTTGGAAGCACCCATCATAGTTTGCATATTGGCAGTGGCTAACATTTTCATATCTTCTAAATATTGAATTATTTATTGCGTTTGTACTATGTTATTTTCCTTACAATTCTAATTTTTTTATTCATGAGAAGCCACTTCAATGCATTTTTTCTTTCAATTGTTGAAAAAGTTGAATACTTTTGCATTCTCTTACTTGCTTGCATGCAATTTCCTACTGTAACCCATCGCTTTGTTCGACTTGGATTGGTTGTCTCTAGTTTGTCTCGGTTCGAATTCGAGGAGCATTCGCCTTTTTCCTTATTGAAATATTATTAGTGTCGGGCTGAAGTCGTTGTAATCTGAAACTGTTGTAGCTCATTTTCGTCTCTCTCTTTTTGCAGGTTTGTTATTTACTGTTTTAGTAAGAAAATCAATTGATTGACAGTTCGTTTTCGACGTTATTCGTGATAATGCTAGAGGTCCTTCCTCCTAATTTTTAATCATTTAGTAACGTCTCAATTTGCCAACAATGTCCACCTAGGAATGAAACTAATGATCAGAAGGAGTAAGTAATGCATTTAGAAAGTCGAGGTCTTTGTTTTGCTTGGATTCGGGAAGTGTTGATTGTCCATTTTCTCGTAAGAAGTAAACTTTTAGAGCTCGAGCTTCATGGTTTGAATTCTGGCTGTCTGAACAACATTTTGTCCACAGTATTTAATTATTTCAAATGGCAGGCGTTTTCATAGCTATTATTAGCCCTTTAGTTGACTTCAGGCTTCACAGAGGG